CAGCCCGTGCCCCTTTAAGGGGTCTGGGGCCGGGAGGGGGGCATAGAGTTTCCCTGGTGTTGGCCAGAGTGGCCACCAGGGAAACCTGGGAAGCCTTAGCCTCCCACTAGTTCGAATTAAGGGTCTACACAGCCCTTAATTCGAACTAGCTAGTTTGAACTAGGCTTAATCCTCGTAAAATGAGGTTTACCTAGTTCGAACTAAGCGCTCCGCTAGTTCTAATTAAATTCGAACTAGCGGAGCGCTAGTGTAGCGCCTATTAAAGTTAGTTCAAACTAACATCCGTTAGTTCGAACTAACTCTGTAGTGTAGACATACCCTTAGATAGGAAAACAGCAGCAGTCCTGTTTGTAAGACATAAACATACGTCCCCTTTGCCTATCCATACTATGGAAACAAAACTAATTCCCAGTATGGCACACATGACTGCAGAACTCCACAGTACTGATCTAAAGCCCACTAACTTCTAGGAGGGTTTCAATAAGTCGACCCTGTAGGCAAAACCACACCATTCTGCTCCCTTTCCGTTCATCAGGTAATTAAAATAGTGAAGATGTTTATAACAATCCAACTACTACAGGCATCCATATCACTGTAAATCAAGCAACAATGCAACATGAGGCTGATTTGTTATATACCTTTCAGCGGCTTGCAGGTGTATGACAGTTGTTAAAGTTGGCATTACAGTTGTTGCAGTCCAATTGCTGCCTGTGTTACAGCCCATAGTTGAGAGGTTTAATGGCATAGTTCTCTCGGGGAGTGGAGGGTAAATCTGAGCCCCAATGCCAACCCAGAGTGAAACAGTAAAGCCCCCAATGAGACCTACAAATGCACCCTGTAAAACAAAGTAAATATTGGATTGAATAAAGCAAAAACTCCAAGAAGGATGACAAGGAATAACACCATGATTTTTCAGTACTGAAAGGCTATTCTCAAAACTGACTACAATGGGGGCTGTTGAAAAGTGCTCAACACTTGAAAACCAGGCCACTTAATTAGATGGCTAAATATGGGCTTGAGTCCAATTTTAGGCACAAATGTCTGAAATTCTTGGCCTATAATACCATTGAACAGATGCATAAAATTCACAATTTATGTCCTTCCACCGTCCGTCCCCCCCCACACACAGTATTCTGTCTGTTAACAGACAAAAAGCAGTCCTGTGATATCTTATATGTACTCTATATTCTGTAATTTTTACTCCAACTCATCTGATGAATTGGGTTTTACCCACGAAAGCTCATGAAGTAATACATTTGTTAGTCTCTTAGTGCTACAGGACTGCTTGTTGTTTTTAAAGATACAGACTGACATGGCTACACCTCTGAGACTGTTAACTGACAGTTAACGATGTTTGATATTAGACTGTGAACAACTGGGAGTTGATAAGAGAACTAAGTTTCACTTCTCTACTGCTCTTAAGGCTTCTTGCTACAAGCACCAAAAAGTTAGACTTTATGAACGCTAGAGAACATATCTGTTTTTAGGATGTCATAATTTAGGAATGTCTTGTGCAATTCAGTTTGATTCACAGATAATATATACTTTGGCCTTAGAGCTAAGATTGTGTGTTTGTTTTAAATTAGAGTGACCAAAATCAAAACTGAAAATTAAATTTGCAACCATAACTTTGTAATGCCACGAAGTAACAACATACTTCTCCTTTTAGGCTGTTTACGGCACAATAGTACTGATTCTGCAGCACTGTGCAAAGACAAATCAAGGCGTTAGTCATAGGAAACAAGCAGAAAATAAGTGACAAGTGAATCTTACCATTTTAAACCATCTTTTTCAGACTAAACTACTAGCCTTGTTGTCTAACTATTGCGGTAAGGGTTTGTAGAGTGGGAAAGAAGGTAGGTATGGGAAAATGCCAATCTAAAACCTCTTCTCTAATGTCTAAAACAAAATTATTGGGGGTGCTGGGAAAGAAGGTAGGTATGGGAAACCTCTTCTCTAATGTCTAAAACAAAATTATTGGGGGTGGAGATGATCCCTAATATGACCAGTGTATTTTCAATCAGCAAGACTCACAACTTGTACTTACGATGGGGTTCGCAAAAGGGGAGAGGATTCCCAAAGTAAACAGTCCTAGAAGAGGGCCACCAACCATGCCAAAAATACTGAGAGCTGCCTGAGGAAGAGAATAAAGTTGTATATCAAGTAGTGTATCACACAGCAAAGCCAAAAGGTGTCACATGATACCACTGACGTGGGGAGGGGAGAAGGGGATGAAATGAAATATTTGCAATCAGGGGTGGAAGCTGGCTGTGAGCCAAATCCTTGATGGTGTAAGGTGGTGAAACTCCACATCAAATTACACCAGTTGAGGATTGAGTCCTAAGAATTTCCAAGGTAAATACTCATGAAGGGATGAAAATTAATCACTGTGCAGTAGCCAATGATTGTTCTTTTGAATCATTTCTTCTAGTTATTGAAACAGAGGGGAAAAGCAGTTAAACATGCACCTGTAACAAGCCACCCATAAGGGACGCCAGAGCAGCCATGGCAATGCATATGCCTCCATAAAAAAGACCTAAAGGGGTGAGAGACACAAATATAAACATTTAAAATTCTACAATAAAGTTTCCTTCTAGTCCAATACTACTAGTAGTAAATACAAAAATACATGGCAGTTGGGATGGTCTCTGAGGATGGTCAAACCAACAAAAGGCCAGGCTCTCCATTACCTCAGGTGGGCATCACGGAAACAACAAATCCTATGAGATTATGATTAGTTGAAGATTAGATCTTAAAAAGAAATTGAGACTAGTACTGGGAATAATAAACATAGCAAGAATCATCTACATTCCTCCTCTTATCCTCTGCACAAACACTTTTTATTTGAAGAGCGGATCTTCTTTCCACTTTTGTACCAGAGAAAACACGTTTAGATTATTGGAGTGCCATGGCGAGTTTTGTACCAGATAAAACACGTTTAGATTATTGGAGTGCCATGGCTAAGTATATCCCATACAGCCTGGAGATAGACAGCCTAAGCAAATGAAGTCTCTTCATCCCAGGTTCCCTAATGCTGGATTGCTGCTTTATTTACATCCATCACCCACAAAGCTCTAATACCAAAGGTGAGGCATTTATCAGAGTTCAGACCTGTGAGCCTCCATTCCCATAGCAAACAAAAGTTGGCATCAAAAGTTGTTAATAATGCTTAAGAAACCACATTCTGTTGCAATACTGATTGTTGCACCGGTATGCTCACTGGCACAGCATGTTCTGTCATTCGGGATACAGCGAATTACTGGCTGTATTCTTTTACCCTTTACTAAGCTAATTACAGGAAAGACGTGTTAGCTTTTTTCCAGCAAACTAACTGGGGCACTGTGGGCCATATTTTCCCCTGATGCCAACTGAGGTAGCCAGCAAAGAAATGGATGGAGCATCACAGATTTAAACCAGTAGAAGATCTAGCCCTGTATGTTCAACCCAAAATTCTGAGATCAAGGGCTTCAGGCAATATGGTAGTGGTAGTGAAGCCTCACGTTTTCTAGCAGGAGAGTGCAATGTGGTACATTTCCCCACGCATGTACCCTGCCAAATAATTCCACATTCAAGTGACTTGTTACAAAATTCCATCCCATGCACCTGCCTTCTGACTGATGGAATGAAAAATAACACCTATTTCAACCCTATTTTGCATTCAGATTCTAGACTGAACAAGGCTACAATATATAATATATATCTTTAAATATCAGATTATTTTACCTGTACTACAGGTTGAACCTCTCTAGTTGGGTACTCTCTGATCCGGCAACATCTGTGCTCAGGCATAATTTTAGTTAGCTGGATCTCCTCTCATCATTAGTGTGGCCAAGGTTCCTGTGGTTCCTTAAAGTTTGTTTATAGCCACCAGTTCTGGCTCTCAGAGTTCTGTGCTATAATTCAGCTTTAATTTACTCCTAAATGACTTCTAAGAGCCCAGGAAGCAGTGGAAGTGTTGGTCAATACTGTCTAGCAACATTACCTTCCCTGATTTGGCAGATTCTCTCGTTCAGCACCGGTCAGGTCCCGAGGGTACTGGACGAGAGAGGTTCAACCTGTACCTAAAGATCAAACAGGATGCCCTTTCCCATGCTCACTTTAAATAGCTGCTCACCCTCTCTCCTATATCCGAAAACTCTTGGCCCGATTCTGATTTCACACAGGTTTTATACTGATGTAATTCCATTGACTTTAATTAAATTACTCCTGATTTACACCCTTATAAGTGATATCTGAACCAAGCCATTTTTCTTTATGGTGAAAGTGGAAAATATCCCTTGCAAACTTACTCGTCCCCTTGGAAATCCAAGATAGTTTCTTTTCAGAGAGGGAGCTGAAGTAAGGTTTAATGAGATCCTCAACGGTTACAGCTGCTAAAGCATTGATGCTGGAGGACACTGTGCTACAGATGACAAAATATTAAACATTTTTGAATGGTAGGATCTGAGATTTACCAACATTTAACAGAGATCATTGCAGACACCCTATGTGGCTGTAACTTCTATAGAGGTTGAAATTATTATTACTAATGGAAATAAACTTGAGAAACTGAACTATTGCATTTTGCGATTGCTTAAAATAGTTGTTCTCAGAGGATAATGCATGTTTTAAGAAAAAAGCAATCAGCTAAATGAGTGAAAGGAAAGTTTACATATATAGTGCTATAGAAGGATGTTGTGCAAAAGATGAGTAGTATTTTAAAACCTTTTTTGAATTCATTAATATGTTTAGCATACTTTGGGTGAGGTACATGTAAGCTAATGGATGTACATTGTGTGGCATTTCACTGACTATTTTGGATGCATTCTATAGGCCAAAAATTGATGCCTAAAGCTAGAGATCTAAATCCATGTTCAAAGAAGTGGGCTGGTTTTCAAATGCAAGGTACTTGCCATTTCTGAAAATTAGATACTTTTCCAAGTGCCTAAATATGGATTTGGGAGTCTAATTTTGGGCACCTATTTCTGCAAATCTTGGCCTAAATCTTAAAAAAGGCATGCTTCTATTGTGGTTGGAACATGATATGCCCTGGTGCAGATCACATGACACAGAAAATATGCAGCTCTGTGCACTCAATGATTAATTATGAGCTCCAGTGAGCATTCAATAGACCTGGAGAAAACCATTTGTTCAAAACACTTAAAACATCAATCCCCTCTCCTGAGAACTGATCGAGCTACTGTTGAATAAGTACGACCTTCCTAGATCACATGAAATAGTATCATAGTTCCCTTACAGAGAAACATGCCCCAGACAGTTTGGCACTGGGGGTGGTACCATCAGTGGTCAAAGTCAGACAAGATGAACTAATTAACAGAATTCAAGTGCAACACTGAAGATACAATAATAATTTGCATTTCTGCAACCTCTTCCATTGAAGGATCCTAAAGCACTTTGCAAACAGGAATCTATTAAAGTGCAAAAGTATTATTTTATTTTTCCCCAGCTAGTCCAGCATCTGGCCTCTTACAGTGGTGCAACCACTGTGCTTCTCAGGACTAGCAACATGCCAATCACCTACAATCCACAGATGGACATTTTTATACATTACTCTACCAAGGAATCAGCTTAATCCCCAAAGTATTGCCTTTTTCATCATGTTGACTTACAAAGCTACATATAAGAGTAAAAAACTTATCCAGCCACAGCATTTTAGCAGTTGCTCTGGGTGTGACTACCATAGCTGAGGTTGTTAATAGTTCCCATTCTAATCTCTGATTTTTTGCATACTCAGGATTTTCCAAAACATTCATATTAAGGGCTCATATTTTCCACAGTTGGTTGCCCCTAAAAAGTATACAGCTTTGCAAAGCTGAAGCAAAACTCTTTTCAGTTGTTTTCAATTATCAGGAGTTGGAGAAAAAACTTTTTATCATCACCATTTGAAAAAAAATATTCTGACCATTTTCGCAGGATTGACTCAAAATCCTGTATTTCTAAACTGCAAACACTAGTTTGTAAAAAGTCCTTAACAAGCAGAATGGGCTTCTTATGATGTAGGAAGGGACATGGCTTTAAAATACAGTTCTGAAGGTTTGGAAAGGAAGGTTTGGAAAGCAACAGACCATTCCATTAAACTGCATCTGAATTGTGTCCGTAAATGGCTTCAATAATTTACAAATGCAGCTAGTAAAGTGGACAGAATGAAGCTTTGAAGCAAGGTGAGGCTTTGTCTACACTTCTAAAATTAAAGCACAGCCATGGCAGCACTTTAAAGTGAACATATGGTTCTCCCAATGCCATGTATAAACTCCATTTACTCTATAGCGCTATAACGTGCTGCGCTCGCAGGGTTGGGTATTTAGTGGAAGCCCCTTTACACTGGTGCTTTACAACTTGCTGAGCTCAGGGGGGTGTTTTTCACTCCTGAGTGAGAAAGTTGCAGCGCAGCAAAGTGGCTGTGTAGACTTAGCCAGAATGGAGTTGTCAGTTACAAGCTCTGCTAGGTTTTAGTCTACAACACTGACACTTTAAAGTGCTGTTTTTTGCTCATGATATTTGCTTATAATGCTAAGGCTAAGACTAGCCCTGTCGGTGGAGTTCGTTAGCAGAGGAGACCCAATTGCATCAATACAAGGAAATGTGAAGCTCCACTGGTGAAGTCTGAAAAAGCTTTTAAGCTGCTCCCATCAAACAGCTTCTAATTGTTCCCTGTTTAAAGAACAGCAACATATGCATGCAGGGAAATTCAGTGCAAAGGATCTGGGATAATTGCAATTTATGCTCTAATAAGCATGCATAAAAATGGCCAATGAATGTCACTGAGGATGATTATATTACCTTAATGTTCCACTGTAGGCACTAGCCACGAAAAGCCCTGGTACCCCTGGAAAATCTCGTAGAATATCCAATACCAGATATGGCATGAGCTGAAAAAAATGCATAGATTGAGAAATAGTAAAATTAAAATCTCCCCTTCCTGCCTCTTTGTAGTGACTCCCTGCTTCAGTAATCCTAACTCACTGGATGCTATCTGAGGTGCTTCCCCCCAACCTTCCTAGACAGGGGCACATCCTCTGAATGGGGGTTCAGGTCTAAGCCAGAGAAAGCAAAGGCACAGAGCCTCCATGCAAACCACCCATGTCACTCTGCATCTCTCTTAAGCCATGTGGACCTCAGGGGGAAGAAAGAGCCACAGATTTTGGACCTTTTGGTTGTAGCACAGGGGAGCACCCCCGCCAAAAAAAATTTAGTTTCCCACAGAGGGTTGTCATCCTTGGTCTTCCTTGTTCTGTGCATCACTAGGGAATAAGAGGATTTCTGGTTCCTTATTTTATTATCCATGTGTCCTCCTTAATTACAAATAAAATATACTCCCTGGTTTCAAGTGTCCCAAAATGTTCCTTAATGTATCTTTCCTAAGGGACAGATCCTAAGAGCACCCATGACTCTGGAGATATGTGTGCTCAGTCTCACACTTTAGGAACAGCCCCTAAAGGCAGCAATCCTAATTCATCCCCAGCTATTAAACCATCGATATGCTTAGTATCAAACCTGGTCTGGTGCTGACACATGCTTTGCTGTCCATGGGTCACAATCACGGTATATCGAGTACATTGCTAATCCACAAAACATTGCACAAACAAGAATCGCCCACAGTCCTACAAGATTTATATAGAGAGATCTGCACAAACATGAAAGAAAACAACAACAGTAATGAGTTAGCCATAGTTCTTCTTGGAATCTTGATCAAACAGCATCATACTGAAACGTTGGTAAAGGTAAACAGGTCCTACTGTACCTGCATTTGCTTCCTTGTTGGCAGCCAAAGAAAAGAGAAACCTTGTTAACTGAACACTTCTTAGTCTAGTTACACGCTGTGATCTGACTGGCTACCAGAGCAGTGCAAAGCTCTCAACACCCCTGGAATTGCTGAAAACCATGATTAGCCAGAGAGTAACTCAGAGACTAGGACTCACACTGTGACCCCCCCTTCCCGACCTGGTGAGCTGTTATTCACACAAGCAGCCACATGGTCAGCCCATGAGATTGTTTATGGGAATAACTGGCACTAGCAATGGATCACAATATAATCGCAGAGGTGCATCCTATAATGGAATCTATCCTGAGGTCATGTAACATCTGTAGTTATTTTGCATGTCTCACTGTGTTTTCTTCATTCATGGGAAGCTAGCAGGAAGGGAGCCACACATTCTCCTGTATGTTCAGGCCTCAAAGGCAGTTTCAGGGATGGGGACTCTTGAGTCAGTCATAATAATATGT